GCAAAGTCCTTAGATTTTGTTTTGGTTTCCAAACATGTGACAACACAGGAGAAAAACTATAATAGTTTTAAAGAATCCCTCTAGATTTAGAGAATATGTCATTTAATGTTACAAATACTATACAAGGTTGAATTAAGTAAGGTTGCTTGGGTTGCTTTTTAGATATGATTTACTTCTAAGTATCATAGAAAATGTCATCTGCATCTCACCCTATGCCTGCAAAACTCATCCTTACATCCCTAAATAATAAACACCAATTTGAAGGGCATTCAAATTTCTTCCAGATACACAAAGATTTATTAAATGATATAAATGTGGCAAAAAATTCACTGAGTTTTCGTAGAACACTAATGCCATCTCACTGAATAAAGTAAAATCCTGTCTTGTCAGTTACAAGGATTTGAAAAGCAATTAATTGTATATCCCTATTCTTTGATACCTATTAACTTCATTAAATCTTTAAATAAAATGTACACACAAGAAGCTTATATACCAGAACCAAATAAGAAAACAAACACAAAATGTGGCTATAAAACAGTTTCACTTCAAAAAATACTAAAAATTGAACTAAAAAACAAAACAAAGCAAAACCAAAAAAACCCCCCAAAAGCATGAATATATTATACTTAAATGATCTCCCACAGTATTATTTTTCTATCCTTTGGATCATAGCAACAAATATTACCAAAAAGCAATTAACTCTCCAAAGTGAGCCTGGTCTCATTAACAAAAAGGTAAAATTTGAGATAAAAATTTATTAAACCTGATTAAAACCCAATTAAAAAGGGTTTTCTCTAAAAGGCAATCAATTATGAAGAGAATGACCATTCTTTAAGACTCTCAATGTTGAATTTTAAAGTGAAATTAAGAACATTTATGGGCACCCACTATCTGCCACACATAAATACTTGACATATATTACTTTTTCTCTAATGTTGCAGTTTTAAAAGATAACAGCTTCACTGAGATATAAGCTATATACTATACTAGTCACTTCTTTACAGTGTACAATTCAGTGGCTTTTAGTTTATTCAGAGTTGTGCAACTTTCATCACTATCTAATTTCAGAACATTTTCATCACCCTAAAAAGAATCCTTGCAGTCATTAGCAGTTACTTGCCATTTCCCCATCCCTTCAGCCCCTGGCAATTATTAATATACTTTCTGTTTCTATGCCTATTCTGGATATAAAAAACAGAATGTGGGACCTTTTGTGACTGGCTTCTTTCATTAACATGTTTTCAAGGT